CAAATATTAGTTCATAATTATCTAAATTATTATTACATAAAATGCTCCATAGTGTGTAAATACATTTATCGTTCTAATGAACCTAATTATTAAAATATTATTTGTAATAAAATAATAATGATGATACTTTATTAGACATTTATATTAGCTTTATTTATAAGTTTCATAATCATACTTCTTTAAAGTTGCAAAGTTGTAGAAATTTAAACACAATCATCGATATCATCTACCGCTAATAGAGTTTATATACAAATAATGTATTTATTAACTTACAATCTAGAGGATTCCCAGTAAATTATTAATTAGTAATTATAATGAGTTGCAAACAATAAAACCTAAATTATTGTAGGTGTTATTTTAGAATAAAACCTAATAAAAATTATTAAAATAATAAAATTAATGTTACATAGCACGTTAAATTATTAAAATAATACTTATTTTTTAATTGTTTAAACATTTAATAATATAAAAATTTAATATTTGAAGTCTAGGGCTTTTATAAATAACAACACAACCATTGATATTGTCTGAAATAGATTAATTAAAAGTAAATAAATTATATTTTTTAATAATTAATTGTTTTAATTAATTAATTACTTCATTAGTGCGGAAATTATTAATAATAAATAATTTCCAACAATAAAAGCCAACTCTTCTCTCAGATATTCTCTCCATAAAAATCGTCAACTATTTATACAAATGAAAACAAAATGTAAAATAGTCTAGAATCCAGATTAAAAACTTGTGCTTATACCTTGAGCATATAGTAAGCATGAATGCAACCATGTTTATATTTGTTGCCCAGTATTGTATAAAATAATTTATACGATTTAATTGCTTCATTATAAACAGTGGACGAAACGGATGTGATATTCAATATAATAAATGCGTGCATTAATGCAAAGAAAAAGAAACCAATCTTGGTAATTAAATATGATTTACCATAGAATACCAAATAAGCCAACGTGGCTATAATGACACTATTTGTGAACCAAAGCAAACATATAAATTTAGACCAATAGACTGTGTTATAATCGGTAATCTCGGTATAGATGGCGTTTAAATTGTTCATGGTTCTTACAATATAGCTTGGTGAAAATTTTTGTTTAGAATTCATTATATTAATAATTTTGCCGTTAATTGACTGTAGTTTTAATCGCAGATAATAAGCTATAATATAAAAGTAGACAAATTGCCAGATTATTATCTGGTATACATAGTTTGCTACAGCGGCCCATATTAACGTATGTAATATACCCCATGTGAATAAATACTGTCTGGGCATTTTTAACAAATACAATAAAAATATCATCGTGATAGATGAAATGGGTATTGTTGTGAGTATGATCCTGGCTATTTTGAACAGTATCTTACATAGTTTGCATAGTTTTAAAACATCCTGGTTATTGTATAAACCGATACTTTTAGGCGATATTGAGCCGGAAATCATATTAAATACTCGCAAATCATTTGATTTTACGCTCTTCAGACCATAATGTAATATCTGGGAGCCAATGGCCTGAGTCATCACTAATAATGAAGCTAGATTAAATTGTATACGACTGTTTAGGAAAATGCCGGAATCACCGATCATGGTAGATATTTCAACGCTCAGACAGGGAGCTAGTAATATAATTATATTTCTAATAATTATGTGTAGAATTATAATGAACACAATAATCGGGGTATAATAGATACGGCGTTTGCACCGGTCGTCCGGTTTATATAATGATAGTCCGATTCTATACAGGTGCTGATCACAGCCCTTAACTACATATTCCGGTGGCAATGGTTTTGATATGTCTATTAATACAGACATCTTATAAATTGGTTGTTATTCTGTTGTATTATTTATATATTGATATATAAAATTTTATTTACAAATTATTATAATAATACTAAATGAGAATGTTTGCTTATATAACAACTATTATACAATTTAATATAAAGTATAATTTATAATTACCATATATTGACGTATGTTAGTTTATTTTAGTAGCATGTAGAACAAGTTAAAATATTAAAAATATATTAACACAAATTATTATGTATATATATTATTATAACTAATGAGCTTTTATTTAATTAACGTTTAAAATGTTTGGCCTAATTTTGCAGAACATATAGCTATTAAACGCTTAAAAATATGAACATGTACATACATTTATTCAAATTAATATTAATAATAATAATTTAATGATTAAATAGTAAATTAATTAAATGGCATTGTATTTATTAAAATACAGTTTTAAGCTATAACATTATAGTTATAATAATAATGATATGACAAAATAATGTATGTAAAGTGCAACTAAAGTGCTTTTATTAATTAAAAAGTACATAATTAGTAAATTGGTACATTATAAAAATAATGAATTTATGGCTAATATTAAAATTTAATGTTTAAAGCCAATGACTTTGATAAATAACAACACAACCATTGAAATTGTCTGTAAAAAATCAATTAATATTAAATAAATAAAAAACTTTTACAATTAATTGTCTGAATTAATTAATTACTTCATTAGTGCGAAAATTATTGATAATAAATAATTTCCAACAATAAAAGCCAACTCTTCTCTCAGATATTCTCTCCATAAAAGTAGTCAACTATTTATACAAATAAAACAAATATACGTGAAATACTCTAGATAAATATATTATCATTTGAACGTACCTTGAGCATATAATAGCTATTAATAACACCATGTTTATACTTGTTGCCGAGTATTGTATAAAATAATTTAAGCGATTTATTCGCTTCATTATAAACAGTGGACGAAATGGACGTTATATACAATATAATAAATGCGTGCATTAATGCAAAGAAAAAGAAACCGATCTTGGTGATTAAATATGATTTACCATAGAATACCAAATAAGCCAACGTGGCTATAATGGCACTATTTGTAAACCAAAGCAAGCATATAAATTTAGACCAATAGATTGTGTTATAATCAGAAATCTCGATGTAGATAGCGTTTAAATTGGTCATAATTTTTACAATAAAGCTTGGTGTAAATTGTTGTTTATAATTAATTATATCAATAATTTTGCCGTTAATTGACCGCAGTTTTAATCGCAAATAATATGCAATAATAGTAAAATAGACAAATTGCCAGATTATTATCTGGTATACATAATTGGATACAGCGGCCCATATAAAAGTATGTAATATACCCCATGTGAATAAATGCTGCTTAGGCATTTTAATCAAAAACAATACAAAAATTGTCATTGTACATGCAATGGGTATTGTAATTAATATTACTTTGACTAGTCCAAACAATAATTTGCACCGTCGACATAGCTTTAAAACATCATGGTTATTGTGTAGACCAATACTTTTAGGCGATATTGAGCCGGAAATCATATCAAATACGCGCATATCATGTGACTTTACGCTTCTTAGACCATAATGAAATATCTGTGATCCAATAGCCTGGGTCATTACTAATAATGAAGCTAGATTATACTGTATCCGACTGTTTAGGAAATAACCAGCGTCACCAATCATGGTTGATAATTCAACGCTTAGATGTGGCGATAGTAGGATAATTATATTTCTAATAATTATGTGTAAAATTACAATAAACACAATAATTGGTGTATAATGAACATGGCGTTTGCACCGGTAGTCCGGTTTATATAATGATAGTCCGATTTGGTATAGGTGTTGATCACAACCCATAATTACATAGTCCGGTGGCAATGGTTTTGATATGTCTATTAATACAGACATTTTAAAGATTGGTTGTTTTGTTGTTGTAAATAATTTTGTTGTTTTAGTTTATATATTTATATTTATTTGTAAATTATTATAATAATATCGTTGACAATGCTTGTTTCAATGACAAATATTATACAAGTCAGTATTTTGGCTTATTGACGTATTTTAGTTTATTTTAGTAACATGTAAACTTAAAAATATTAAAACAAGTAAGTTTATTATTTGCGTGAGATTACCGTATTCTTCACTGTAAATTATATGATAAGCAATAAATATAATGTAATATTGTAAATTTCTAAATATGTAAATATAATATAATGTTATATTATATTGAATGTTTGTATATCATTATAACTATGGTACTTTTGGACTTAACTGCTTTTATTTAATTGACATTTAAAATGTTTGAACTATTTTGCAGAACAAATAGAGATAAAAAATGTAATCATGTACATAAATTTATTCAAATTAATATTTAATGATGATGATTTAATGATAAAAATTAATTAATTTGTACATTTGAACTAAACTGTATTTATTAATATACGGTTTTAAGCTATAACATTATATTGATAATAATTAGTTCATTATAAATTAATGTAATATTATGTAATTAATGTACTTTACATAAATAGTAATAAAATTAATATCACCCATACAATACTCGATAAAATACATGTTTATCAATGCAAAAGTACATAATTTACCAGTATAATTGCTAAAAAAATATTATAAAAATAATGAATTTATGTTTTCTGTTAATAAAATAAAAAATTAAAATATGGATAATATCATAATATAATAAAATAATTATAGTAATTAAATATTAGTTGATTTTATATCAGATTGAGTATATTATAAGTTATACTATGATTATACAGTGTACCAAAATCATCTACATTATTTAATATTTGTGAGTACATTTAAATAAACATTTACTGATAAAATAGTCAAATTGCATTTACAAAAGTGTATAAAAACTAATTAATTAAAATCTATCTAAAATTTATAAATGTCATTTAATACAATTAATTAGGTTTAACTAATTAACTATTAAAATTACATAATATTACTATATAGTTGTTAGAATTATTAATTAATAAAAGTGTTAAAAACCAAATGGCAATCAACAAACACGTGTTAAATTATAAAAATGAAAACCAAAATAAACATCTCACTATTACTTTTAATCTACATCAACATCAACCTAATCAAGCTAGGTACGTGTAAACAATGCGGCATAGCAAACAAACAGGGCCCGGTGACTAACATGATCATTGGTGGTAAACCTGTCCGCCAAAACGCGTACCCATGGATGGCCTACCTATTAATCAAGCGTCAAAGCAACGGGGGTGAAATCGAGGAGTTTGTATGCGGCGGTACGATCGTAAACACCGAGTGGGTTTTGACAGCCGCCCACTGTTTCGACCCCTCCGATGATATACTGGAGGTTAGGGTAACCCTCGGAGAGCACGAGACCAATAAAAGGGAGGGTAAAGAGGTGTTTGCCGAGGCCGCTGAGGTGGGTTGTAATCTAGTTAACAATAACTATACTGTTCGTAGAATTACCTAGTTATAAACTAGCAAATACTCACCAAATTAATGCTTTTGTCACTAATAAAAAAACTTGGAAAATACTGTTTAAATAAAACAGTATGAATGCAGGCATTAAAAAGTTTTAATTAATTATATGTTTTTTATCAGTAATAAAAGCAATTCTTATTACTCTAAAAATTACCTAGAACAATTAAATAAAATGTATCTTCTACATCTAGATGGTAATACACAAGGGCTTCACCACCAAGACCTATGACGACGACGTGACCATGGTGAAGCTGAACATTACGCTAGACTTTGAGCGCAGGCACCGGCACCTGATGCCCATATGCCTGCCCCCGCCCTATGGCCTCGACCCGGATGGCGAACGAGAGTGCTTCGTGAGCGGGTGGGGTAACCACGTGGCCGGCAAGGAGGAGGATGGTTCGTTTTCGCAAATACTCCGCGAGGTACCGGTACAGATACATCCCAAGTCAAAGTGCTCTAGGTCGTGGAACGGTGATTATGATACTGCCAAGCATTTGTGCGCCGGTGATAATCAGCATGATTTTTGCTCGGGTGACTCCGGCGGGCCGTTGGTCTGCAAACAGGGTAATAAGTATTTCCAGTACGGTCTGGTCTCGTATGGCGTGCAAGAGATGTGCGGTTCAACGCATCCCGGTGTCTATACCAGGATTGCTTACTATCTGCCCTGGATCAATAATATTATACAGTAAATTAAGATTTTCCTGGATTGTAATAAATGTTTGTCTAATTTGTTAATTTATTTAATATAAATATTATTAAAATTATAATCAACGTAATTTATTATTAATATTGTTAGCAAAAATCTAGTATAAATCAAACTGTATTTAAAACAATATTGCCTATTTATTATGATTTCTATTAATAATTATTATATTATATTGGGTGTCCTTATCATTGACTATTACTATTGATAATTTATTTTACCATTTATTATAATTATTGCCGCATAGCTAGCTGTCTACATTACATTCTAGCAATTAAGCATATAGACAATAAACCTCTTGCCATATAACAGTATACAGATTAATTTGAATTAATAAATATACTATTGTTTATTAATATTTTTTGTTGTAAATGATTTATTTTAATTATTATTGCATTAAAGGGAGGAATTAATTTTTATTTTGATGTAGCAGCATTAAGCAAAATAATACAAAGATATTATTTTAATTACTTTAACAAATTTAATAATTTATAAATTTATCCAAAAAGCAAATTAAGCAATTGGTGATTAGTAATCACTGATTAGTGCAAAGTGAGCAATGTCAATTAGGGCTCGGTGCTTGATTTTGTGCAGGGGAATGGCAATGATTTAATGACCATTGTTGTTATTTAGGAACATCTGCTAAGCATTCCTGTAATATAAATTAATATTATTAAAATTTCATAAAAGTTAAAAGTTAGTTGAAACATACAATATACTGATTCCACTTTTCATTTTGATCGCTCTCGGTCCATTTTAACGATACTTTGTTGTAGCAATTCATTACCTAGCGATAATTAATAGATGAATAAGTAATAGTTAAATTACTATAATTTGCTCAATAAAATTACTTTAATGTTGCCATAAAAATCGCACGTGGCCGGTTTACTGCCAATTTTAACCTTGCTCTCTGTTCGGCAATCGTTAAGCACTTTCAATAACTAGTTTTCAAAACAATTAAATGTGAATAATATTTTTATTTTAATAAGAAATAAAATTTTAATATTGATATATTTAAAATAATTTACCTCGGTGGCATTTTTGGCGCACGCCTTGACTTCGCCCACTTGTTTGTCCGTCAATTGTTTATCGCATAAGTGTTCAAAACCATAAACTGACCCCACTTTCATAACACACCACTTGATTATAACAAAGTAATTATGTATAATTAATGCTATTTTTAAATTTTTGCTTTAAAACAAACTGTAATTAAAACAATATTTTCTATTTTTATAATTTATGATATTAATTATTATATGATATTTGGTGTGATTCGGAATCAACTTTTAAATTTCTTTACCATAATCATAAGTACTATTTTTTTAAAATATCAATTTAAAATCCAAACTCATCTTTATAATAAACTAATTTTAATTATTATAACTGATTTAAAATATAAATTATTAATTTGATACTATATTGTTAATTTAGTAGAAACTGTAATTTAGCAAATATTTTTATTTATTAGAATATGATGATAAGTATTATATGATATTTGGTAAAGAGATGTCGGGATGATTATTTTATTTTAACAGGCTTATTATTTACAAATTTTTAATTCTAATATTACTGCATTTTAAATGTTGTGGCAATATGTCCTGAGTATCTCCTTTTTTATCAACGCTTACCTCAAAGTCATTTTCCACGGCATCGATAGCGTCAAAGTCCTCGTCCGCGGCGTTTGCCATATACTTCTTGCCGTATATCTGACCTAACTTACTGAACATACAGTCCATCACCTAAGTTAGCAAGGTAATCACATTTTACCATGTCAATTATTTATTAAAATAATATATAAATTAAGGTTAAACTACTTTAAACTCCTTTTCATTTTGAAAGTACGAACAAATGGTGGGCTTATTGTCGGTCAACGTATAGCCCATCACTTCCTTCAGACAAATTGTTAGTAATTTCTTTCGCTAATTAATTATTAATTTAATTAATACAACTTAATTATAAATTAATCTAGGTCAAATTCAACCTCGGGTCTCATCAAGGTGTCGCATTTGAACAGGGCCTGGGTCTGAGCCTGGGTGGCATTGTCCTGACAATATTGACGCCCCGTCAGTGTCCACGAGTATATACTCAGCCCATAGGCATAGCTTAAAAAACAGCAAAATAATACCTGATATATGATTAACCACTTTTGCATATCTATGTCAGTAAATTACTAACAAAATTACATTAATGTTTTAACTATATATTCAACCAAATAATGTTTTTTTAGTTACAAATAAAATTTATTTTTGAATGGAACTTGTTATAATGTTAACAAAAGTATTATGTGTTTACTTTGTATACTGTATTTGTTTTTATTATTGATTTAATAAGGTGTAAAATTTTATTGTACTTTTATTACGATCGATTTCATTAATATTTAACAATGCAATGTAGTTTTTATTTTACATATTCAGTACACAAATTATTATGATGGTGATATAAATTATTATAGTTTATAATAGTTGTGTGTTTAACCTGTCCCATGCTGAATAGCTATTTATGTTAATGTAAACGTATTACTACTATATTTTATTCATATCATAATAATAGCTGGATTTATATACATTTTTAGCTTGTAATCATATTGAATATAATGTTTAACATATAATTATCAAGTCAATATTTTTAAATTTGTAACACTTTTTAGAAAATGTTTTTTAGTGATGTTTTATCATGTGTAATCTGTGTAATCTGATATTGTATTAAATTGTAAATTATATAAACTTTATATAAATAACAAGAATATATTTGTAAATTTTATTCATCAATCTCAAACAGTTGTTTAAATATTGTATAATTGGTATTGCTATTAGATTAAAATAAATATAATATTTGTAATGTTATAAATAACATATACTTAAATGTCCATTATTTTTTGCTCATTATAACATAATAAAAATAAAATAAAATAAAACTATTAGCCTTAATCTACTAATAATCTAGTACGGTTTGTTGAAATATAAAAAAATATATTTTCTTATAATATTTTTAATTCTAAACAATTTGTTTCTATGTCAATAGTTATTTAATTTATATTACTTAATTGTACTTGTACATTAAATATAAATGACAATCATATAAATGCATTTTTATAATGTTTTATTCACTATTGGTAATTCAAATAGCATAAATAATGCACAATGTAATTTTATTGTAGTAGTGAACGTCCCATTTTTGAAACAACCTTGGTTAAAACTTAATAAAAATATTAAAACCCAAAATATTATTTTTATAAATAAAAATAATTGTCTAGCCTATAAAATGTTACACTAATTACGCAAATATTCTCAACTTGGACATTTAATAATAAAAATAAATATTACCAAAAGAATTTTTTAATAATAACAATTGTTCTTTAGTAACAATAATTATACCATGTTACAATGAATATAATTAATTTAATATATTATCCTTATAATAAGCAACAATTAAATTTATTAAACTACCAAGTGTCCGGACAGTTATAATTATATGGTAAATGGTATTATTATTATTTCGCAAACTGAAATACAACAGGTGTTACAAAGTGTGTAATTTGTCACTTATATTCATTAATAAAATAGGCAAATAAATAACAATTTATTAATATTATTAATAAATATTTATGGTACTTCTTTTGTTATAGATAAAAAATAGAAAAATAACAAACATGCACTCTCACATATGCCAATTAATAGATTACATAAATAGGCTTGTTTACTTCTTGAGTTTAGTGCTTTTCTAAAATTATTTTTATATTATTTATTAATTTTATATAAATATAAAAATAGTTAAATAATTATAAAAATTGCTGATATTTTTCTACAAAGTTGGATTGTACATTCTGTGTATTATATAAAGGTTTTACTGTATAACTATTGATTAATTAATTATTTTAATTATATCACATAATGTGTCCTTTTCAATAAATTATTATTATTATTTATGCAGGTACATTAGTATTTTAAGTACTATGTAATTAAGCAATTAAGATATACAACTATATAATAGTTAAAATAATTTCTATTTGTACACGTATAAATCTTAATAAATTATTTTTAGATATACACTAATAATTAAAGTCTAATTGGTACTTGGTTATATTGATTGCAGATATCATGATAAAGTTATTTAGCATAAGTGACAACTAGTTTAAAATATTTAAATAATAATTAATGCACCATGGATGACAATTTTGTAGCTCAAATAAATCGCTGTAAAAGCTATGAATTTGGCGATACATTATTGGGCGATATTTCCAGTAATTTATCTCTCATTGCATTTGGATTCAGTAACGTATGTGTTATTATAAATTCATATATAATATGTAAAAATGTTTTATCATCATGATCATTTATTTTGAGAGGGATTTTCATATACATCACAACAACACATCCATACAAAGACATCGAGGAATAGTTTACCACACTTTCCTACACATTATCATTCATACATCCAATTCCCAGAATTCTAAACACACACAAAGTTTGAGAGGGATTTTCATATACATCACAACAACACATCCATACAAAGACATCGAGGAATAGTTTACCACACTTTCCTACACATTATCATTCATACATCCAATTCCCAGAATTCTAAACACACACAAAGTTCACACCTATGTGTTAACCAACACCACATCAGCTCAAATTCCAAGAATTTGCCGCATTTCAACACATGTCATCACACATTCAAGACATCCATCATATCATGTTTTTTAATTCACAACCATATATTACATTAATTAGAATCCATAATTAACACATATTCTCATTGTATAAACAAATACCTTTTTATACATATCATTTTCATAGGGAAAACCCTATTCACTCATTCATAACATGTAAACTTAATACTTATATACTCACACACCACAATATATTCTGTATTAAGACATCACCCATTCATTTCAATAAAACCCTTCAGTTGAATTTCACCCAAACACACGGTCTTTCATTCACTCACTTTCATTCTTCACTTCTACCCGAGAGAGTCCTGCTTTTG